GGCTGTTCTTGTTAGGTGTTTTGCCTGTCGTACACACAAGATCCGAATCCGATTCCTGGAAGGGGATAATTTTTGTCAAGTGTCGGTCTGTTTGAAGGGATGTTATATCTCTCTGAGCCCGGGTTTGCCTTGACAGGCAGGTCGAAAGCCCGTCTCTTAATCAATTATGTTAATTATATCAATGGGGCGTAAAACACTTATTTGTATAAAAAAAAAAAAAAAAAAAAAAAAAGGAAATGATAAAGCAAAGAAATGTCTTTGCAATTGAAGACGTGTGTTTAAAGTAGTACATACTGTAAGAGTTGTTAGTGACGAACGTGGTTTCCAGGACTTTCCAGTGCCCCTATTATAGTATCAGCATAATAAACAAACAGCGTGTATACCCTGGGTTTATTTTATAGTTTCATTTTTTTAACCCCTAAGAAAACAAAATACCGGTTTACTACGATTGTGATGATGTTCACCTCATAATGCTCTCTACTTTGACAATTCAGCGGCTATCTGAGTTCTTGCACTTCGGCCTAGATATGATACACCCAAAAGAGTGAGTCTAACATTGCAAAAGGAATCAGTAATGTAAAGATTGATGTCACCTGGTGTGTAAAAAAAGGACTATTGTTTTTATGGCTCCAAAGAAGGCTGAGGAGGGATAGGATAGGAGCATTTATAAGTCCATGACGAATATCTGCTGGTAATAATTCACAATATTGAAACCAATGTTTAAATGTCCGACATTTCACTCAGATGTCCAAAATACTCACAACTTTTAATGGAATTTTACAAAGTAGAAGTATGACGATAACAGTGATAATTTCCCAGTAAACGTCGTTTTTGGATGACGTACAATGACAAATGAATTGACTTTTACCTTTGAAATTTATGACGATTTTATTCCTCCGCCGCAGTCTTTATAATGTATTAATATGTAAAGTACACTTAATGCAATGTTTGCCTTTTAGTCTTTTCGCATAACAATTTGTTTGTGGAAATAAATACAGTTTTAGTTTGGTTGAAAATTGATCAAATTGTGTTCAGGAAAAGATAGCAAATCCGAGTTATGGATATTTAGTTTTTCTACACGTGGTTAAGTCGATTTTAGAAATTAAAGTGTGTTTTGCCCATAGATAATACCTTTACAAAAACTTGAAGTTATCATACGAAATAGGATAAGTCGTTTTACAATGTCTCTATTGTCGTTTATCCTGGCATTAAAAATTTTTTGACCCTGAAAATAAAAAATGCGAAACTTGAATGCGAGTCGGCATGTTGTAACAAAAGAAGTTCGCTCAACTTGTTTGGACTGTAAATGCCGATGTCCATGAATGTTTGTTTTTTTCCCCGTTTTTTTTCTTCCTCCTTTTTTTCAAAATTTGGTTAGGGGTTGTTGTTTTTTTCTTTTCTTTTTTCTTCTTTTTTTTCAAGGTTATTTATTTTTTTTTTTTTAAATTTTTTTTTTGGGGGGGGTCGGTTTTTTTTTCATTACTGGCTATCTGTTCGTGTGTTGATGACGCACTAGGCCCAGTTGCGCGACCCGCAGTATCAACAGCTGTTGTCTCGGCGCACGCGCGTGCCTTGCACTGATGGCAGGAAGCCCTAGGTCGGTCACTGGGCGCGTGGGGAGAGGCCACGTTAGCATTACTCATGTCCAGCTTCTTCTGCTTCTGGTGTGGTTGCTGGTTGTATGGGGGG